AATATAAATTAATATCATTGTGTTAGAAGTAAAGATGCATGCAAGCTTATTATACATAAAAAAGTTATAAAAACATAAACTTTTGCCATCTATACACCTAAAATTTTGAAATAACTCTAAATATGTTTTAAATTTCAAAAATCAAAATAATAATTAATAGCTGAAAAGAAAATAAAGTTAGTAATTAGAAAGAAAATGCTTCATTTTAGAACAATTATTTTTTGAAAAGATTAGGTGATGCCCAATTCAACAACCAACTGTAAAAATATCAAACCAAACAATCCAAACATAATATTTATGAAATATAACATATTTAAATTCTAATGCAAAATGCATATTCTAAACTTAAAAGAATCTCTTCTCAAAATGTTTTTTAAACAAATATTTATATGACTATAATGAAACATGCATATAAAAGATCTTAACACAAAAAATAATAATCAAAATAATACAAAAACAAATATAAAGTGATAAAAGCTTTAATAGTAATTGACTTATTAACTTTTGTGTATCTAATTCATTTATATATAACCTCATAAAGAAAAAAAAACTACTCTAACTTTACTCCACGGTAAAAAGAATATCATGAATTGAAATTTTTTTTTTTATAATGACACAATCTATTTCTTAAGCATCCCAAAAAACTCTCACTTATATAGGATAGGTCTTGAAACTAATTATGGAATGCTTTATAACTTTTAAATGATTAATTGATTAACATAAAATTAAGAATCAAATTAAAAATAATAATATTTTAAATTAAAAATAATTTATACTTGACAATTAGAATAATAAAATATAATGTGTATTTAATGAATTTGGGATAAATGAAAAGAGAAAGGTTTTGAAATTAGTGTAATAATGTATTTGGAATAATTTAATTTATTTAATGCATTATCTTTAATACAAATATAATTTAGAGTAATTTAAAATAAATAATAAAAAAAAATAAATGTAAATAATTTAATTTTTTAAAATTAATTCAAATAAAATAAAATACAGAATACATGGTGATTTTCAAAATTGTCTATATGTGAATAATATAAGCCTCCACATTAGAAATTTTCCTTTTTTACCAAAGGTTTTAACTTTTATATATTTATATAAAATATAAGATAAGATGACTAATGATCAAAGATGAGAGAGGTTAATTCAATAGTGCATATACATTATGAGTTTATATTTAATATATTATTAGTGTATAGATTCTATACATTATCAGTAAATTAGATGATGTCACATCATTAATGAGCAAATAGCAATCCCTAAAATAAATATACAAAAATTAATATTTTTTAAAAATCTTACTCATTAATGAGATGACATCATCTGATTCATTTCATTAATGAGATAATATCATCTTATTTACTAATAGTATATAGAATCTATACAATGACAGTGCATCAGATATAAATCTATATATTATTTCAATTGCTAGAGATTTTTATGCTAAAGAGGATTGAGTTACTATATCCATCTTTGCAGTCTGTAATTATGCAAAGGGTAGATGGGTTGCTGACAGCAGGGTGCCTTTATATCCTGTTGGATGCAAGTATATGCAAAGAAATTGGGCATGCAGACTCACCAATCGAACAGATTTCTCTTATGAAGGTTATCGATGGCAATCCATAGATTGTAAAATGCCAGCGTTTGAGCCATCCGATTTCTTGAAAAGGTAAACAATTTTTGTTCTATTTCTTCAAACTCTCGTTTTTCTATTTTGAAATAACTTTCAGCATTGGCAATGTTATTTCTAGTCTGTAATTGTTTTATTGACAATATTATTGTTTTAAATCCAGTGCTTGCAATGTTCTTCTTTCCTCATTTACTAGGCGGAAACTACAACGTTTGATACAAACATATAAAGACAATCAGATAGATTAGTAATATGTTTTTTATCATAGTGAATGATTGATGTCTAAAGAATAATTACATAAATAACAGGATGAAGGACAAAACAGTTGCCTTTGTAGGAGATTCATTAAGCAGGGAACAATTTCAATCCATGATGTGCATGCTCACTGGGGGAAAAGAGAGCCCAGATGTTGAAGATGTTGCAGATAAATATGGTTTCCTTCAATTCTTACCTAATGGAGCTATTCATCACCATGGCTGGGCTTACCGCTTCCGAAGTACCAATACCACCATCCTGCATTCTTGGTCAGCTAGGCTCTGTGACCGAGAGCCTATTAACGCCACCTACCCTAGCTCCCTTTACGCCATGCATTTGGATCGTCAGCCAGTTTTCATTCGAAAAAACATCGATCAACTTAATGTATTAGTTATTAACACAGGTCACCATTGGAGCAAAAGGATGGTTAATTTGGACAAAGAGGTGATGTACGTGAATGGGGCGCCTGTCCAGGACAGAAATCTTAACAAAATTGAGAATGCCAAGATCTTTAAAGTGAACAATATAGTGAAATGGCTTGATTCTAAGCTGGCCACGCATCCCAACTTACAAGTTTTCTTCAGAACCACATCACCAAGACACTTTTTTAAAGGGGAGTGGAACACTGGGGGTAGCTGTGATAACACCATTCCAATGACTAGAGGGAGTGAAGTCCTCAAAGAGGAATCAAGTGATAAGATTGTTGCAGCTGCTGTTCAGGGAACAAGGGTAAAGATTTTGGATATTACTGCTCTGTCTGATCTGAGAGATGAGGCTCACATATCACATTATGGTAAAAAAGCCAATGACTGCTTGCATTGGTGCTTGCCCGGAGTTCCTGATACCTGGAATGAACTGCTTATTGCTCAGGTCTAGAGTGTTTCTTTTTCTTTTTTGAAAGAATAATATTTTTTCTTTTTATTTGTTGGGGATAAACTCTTTGAGTAAGTAAATATATACACCCACCGTTAAGTTAAATGTTCAGGTATCCAATCTAGAATTTGCAGCTTTGTTTTCTAAAAACAAACATACCATTTCTATGCATGCCTCTAGGTCTTCATGTTCTATGTTTATATGTTCCTTCGATATTATTTTTTTATGAATTTTAATTTTATTTGAATTATCAATTGAATCGATTTTATTTTATTAATTGATAAGTTATCAAATTAATTGTTATTGATTATTGAAAATAATTTTAAAAGAATTTCACTTTTTTATCAATTTGGTTCGATAATCGAATTAACTGAAATATAAGAAATCAAAGATAAAATTAAAAAATATATAAATTCGATTATTGAAAATAAATTAATATAATTTAGTTTTGAATAATTTAATTAAAATTAATCAAAATATAAGGGATGAACACCCTTATTCCTTTTATAGTTTCTCATTTTTCACTACTTTTGGTTTCTCTTTTATGTATATTGGATGCATGTCCGCAGTTTGTTGTGGGTTTATGACTTTAATTGTAAATAAGAATATATTTGACGAATAATGATGCAACAAATCAAATTTTCAAATAGTATATAACATATACTTTCGAGAATTTATTAAATTAACTATCTTGTCATCTTTGCTTAATGATTTTCCTATCAAATTAAAATATTAATTTATTTTTATTTATTTTCTTATTAACATGGAAGCTTTTATTAAAATAGTTTTTCTTAATTGATAATTTTTTATTAAATAAAATATAATTAATTTTTATATATCTAATCTTCATTAAGCTTAAACTTTTTATTTAAGTAAATTGTTTACTTAATAGATCATTTATTAAATTAAATATTAGTTATTTTTGTCTATCTATTTCTTTATTAACATGGAATTATGTTTTGGGTTTATTTACCATGGTAATTTCCTAATAAATTTGGATTGATCATTTTTAAATTTACCATTAATTTTTCTTTACCATTCTATTATTGTTGAGACCTTAAATTATTTGCTTGGCTGCGTTTTTTTTTTAAAAAAATTTAAGTACAGGTTACTACAATTTTCATTGGTCAAATGTGTATTTGATTTATAATTTTCAAATAACATTTTTTTATAAAAGTTAATGTTAATATAAAAATTATTTTGTTATATTTTTCATGCATACATTTACTTTCATTAGAAAGAAAAAAAATAGATGGAGATAAAATAACTTTTGCTACAGCATCAATTACCATCTCAAAATTTTATTTCTTATCATCTTAAATTTTAGAAATTTTATTTTATTAAATGATAAGTCTCAATAACTATTATATTCAATTAATTACGAACTAGTATGATGTATGTATTTCACTGTGTTTTTTTATTTAGCATAATTGAAAATTTAAAATATATATAATTTTTATTTAATTAAAAAAAAGGATACTAAAGATATTTAGAGTAAACATGTTCAAGATATTGCTTTTCATACCTTTGGTTTCAGTTCTCTGTAAATGATATTGTGGGACTGCAAAACTTCCAAACCAGCTCCTGCATTAAGGAAACAAATGACACCACTCAAAATATAATCTTAAATGAAGAAGCCTTGCTATTAGCCTATCACCTAGATCAAAAAAAGTAGCTACCAAGTTGTTGCATGAATCTCCTTATTAATTGTTCTAAACTCTTTCTTGTTACCGAATGTAAGAGGCTAGATTTCCTCCAGCAGAGAACTCAAGGACCAAGAACAAAAACCTTTCATGTTGAAAATTAGAGAAAACCAATTGCATCTTTTGTAGAAATTAGAATAGCAAAACAGATATGAAATAAGCAAAAAATTTTGTGTCATCAATTTTGGGGTACAAGGAGGGGATAAGTTCTGGATGGCTTGTATTTTATTCGGGTCCACTTCGATTCCTCTTTCACTGACCACAAAGCCCAATAATTTTTCTAATTTAGCACCGAATGTACATTTGGTAGAATTCAACTTCAGTCAAAATCTTTTCAACCTGTCAAATAGCTTTTTGAGATTGACTACATGATTCTCTCTTTCACGAGATTTTGTAATCATATCATCCACATACATTTTTATCTCTTTTATGCATCATGTTATAAAAGAGAGTCACCATTGCTCTTTGATAAGAAGCACCAGCATTTTTCAACCCAAAAGGCATGACTTTGTCATCGAATGTCCCTCACATTGTCACAAATGTGGTTTTTTCCATATCAATTTAAACCATCTTGATCTAATTATAGCCCAAGAAGCCATTAATAAAGAAAAATATGGAATGCCTAGCAATATTATCCACTAGAGTATCGATATGGGACAGAGAAAAGTTATCCTTGGGACTTGCACTATTCAGGTCTCAATAATCTACACACACTTTCACTTTTCCATTTTTTTTGGGAACTAGCACTATGTTGGCTACCCATTCAGGATATTTTGCTATCTTTAAAAATTTAGCATCAAATTGCTTTTTCACTTCTTCTTTAATTTTCAGCAACATCTCTGGCTTTATGTGCCATAGTTTTTGCTATACTGGCTTGTATTCTGGTTTCAAAGGCAACTTGTGCTCTACAATATCAATGCTAAGTCTTGGCATATCTTGGTAAGACCACACGAACACATCTACATATTCTCGAAACAACTTTTCTAGCTTTTGCCTTTCAACTAGTAAAATAAATGTACCAATTTTAACCTCTCTTCTATTTTTATCGTCTCTCAAATTTACTAATTCAGTAGTTGTTTGATGAGGTTCAATTAGCTTATCTTCATATTCTATTAATTTTAACAAATCAAGAGGCAATGTGTAATTATTTGAATCTTTCTCATTATCAAGTTCGTCAACATGAATTAAGTTTTCAAAATCAAATCCGAGATTATTGCCATAATTATCTTTATGTTCATTATTTGGGACCTTGCAAAGAGTAAGATGAAGAGAATATTGGCACTCAAAGATGAAATGGCAAAAAAAAATCATTAGGTAGAATGAAAAATGGAATGATTCAAATGAATAAAAGAAATACGGATACATCTTTTGAGTCTTTTATTAAAACGACAAATATAAAGACACACAAAAGATCACCTAATACTCATAGAAAGCAATTAGGGCTTTAAAGTTCTATAATACATTACTTTTTAGAAGTTTTAAAGACAACAGGCAGCTCTATGACTTTTCAATTATCTAGCTTGAAATCTGAAAGACAATGGTGCATGAATAGCTTTTTATCTCGACCCTTCTTTTCTTCATCATCTACCACTTGAATGGCTAGCTTTGAAAACTTTTTCATGAATTTTGCACTTATAACTCCAGGCAAATCTGGGTAAATATATCCTCCTGAACGAAAAAAATCATAAAGGTATAGAATAACCATAGGCTTTGACTTTGGCTCACATCCCCCAAGATTAGCCATTCTCTTATCTTTTTTCTTATTCATTATTTTCATTATGTCCCCTCTTGTTGGCTTATATCCTAAGTCGAATCTATCTTTCTTATCATATACTACTAGTGGCTATATGATTCATTGCAGGTTCTTCTTTAGTCTAATTTCAGGTTGTCATCCCATTCAGTGAGCTACTTAACGACCATTTTAATAGTCATAGACACGTGTGACAAATATAATTTAGATCTTTCAGTCATATATGTTGTGTTAGCAATCTTAAAAAATCTATATGAAGGCTTCAAGGCTTTATTCGTTGCTTCTACATAAGGAGTATTTATCGGTTTAGTGACCAGTAAATCTTTTTCTCCTACCACATATGTTAATTTTTCATTAATAATGAATTTAACTTTTTAATGTAATGAGGATGGAACAGCACCCGCCATATGAATTCACGGCCTATCCAACAAGCAACTGTATGAGGGAGAGATATCTATAACTTAAAATTTCACATTAAAAGTGCATGAGCCAATCTGCAATAGCATTTCTATGTCTCTCAATACCTCTTTTTAGGTTCTATCAAAGGGTCAAACTATCATATAACCAGGCTTCATATAAGATCCATTAATAGAGAGTTTTGTTAGAGTAGTTATAGGCATAACATTGATGAATGAGTCATTATCGATCAAAATTTTAGCCATTATATGACTCTTGCACTTTATAATAATATAAAGAGTCTAGGTATTTCTTTGACCTTCAAGAGAAATCTCTTTATCATTAAAAAAAATATAGTTTGCAATTGTCAAATTGCCAACAAGTTGTTTCACGTATTCAACAGAGACATTGTGAAACACATATGCTTGATTTAGCACTTTTAGCTAAGCATTACGATGTGACTCTGAGCTAAGTAATAATGACAATAGCAAAATTTTAGCTGGCATTTTGTTTAATTGTTCTACCATGCTATACTCACTATGTTTTATTAACTTTAAAAATTCACAAGCTTCACTCTCAGAGATTGATTTCTAACATTCCTTTTCTGAGGCTGCAATAGGATTACTTTGGCTTTTCTTTTTTTCTTCCACATTTGCTTTCTCTTTCTTTGCTTTCTCTAAAGCTTTTAGAGTGTAACATCTCTCACTTCGGGTCATACTTCCTACACCCATTATATTTGCAGTAACTGGATTGATCACAACATTACAATCACACTTCCATAGTACTACTTTGTTATTTTGATATGAAAAAAGCCAGAAACTTTAATTGTCACTATTAGTCAGAAGATAGATTTTTCTAGCCTCGGTGTTAGCTTCTCATTATAATAAATAGTTATGGGTCTACATATAAACTTATTCTTTGAATCAATGGTAGACACTTTAGCTTTCATCAAATCTATTTTTTTTTTTTTGTAAAACTCAATCTGACCCGTATCCATTAACTTTTGCACCTTTTGATGAAATTGGTCACAACTCTCGATAGAATGTCTTCAAACACATTTGTGATAATCACATTTCTCGATGGAATTAACTTCTTTGGAGCAATTCTGAGGTTCTATTGACTCTAACATATTAGCCTTGACTAAGGCTTCAAACACCTTAGCCATTGGAGTCTTTACTTCATCTATCCCTCTCTTTATATAGCTTGCTTGCCCATCAATCCAAGCATTTATTGAT